GGTTTAGGGTTTAGGGGTTTTCCAAGATTTCTTCAATCCACTGTGGTGGCTCTCCTTGCACCCTACACCCTCAACCATAATCATGGTACACGCTTCCTTATCTGCCTGGTTGCATCATTACTTGGAGGGTCAAGGGGATGTTGTAAGTAGAATTGGGAGAATTGGGACTCTAGGGTTTTGGGTTAAGGGCTTCAAGTTTAGAGTTTTAAATGGCTTGTAAAGGTTTCTGACAAGTATACATACTGAGTTAGTCCCTGCCAACCCTCCATGTCCTTCTCCCCACGATCTCATAACATAGCTCACATGTACGCCAAGGAGGGATTCTCATGTATCGGGCTTTAGGGTTTAGGGTCTATAAAGCAGAAAGGAAATTTAAAGCAACCCTGGAGCTGTATAAGGTGTATGTATTGGGCATTGGTTTGCCCCATGCTGGGCACGTTGAAGCCTATTGAAGCCAATTGCGACATGGAGTTGCTCAACATTAGCTCAGTAGAGCCTTTGCGAGGATCCCAATATTCCTGTTGACAGACGTACGAAACCCACACAGGAAGCACGGGAACCTGCGCGCGCGGTAGGCTGCCCACACCAAGGCTCATCGCCTTTGAGAATCGTAGGATAAAAGAGGGTTAAGGGTTCAGTCTTGAAGGGAAATAAATAAGCCTTAAACCCTTCAAACCCTAAACCCTAAATCCTTAAGCCCTAAACCCTGAGCCTTGGAATCCAACCCTAAGCTTAAACGCGAAATCGTGAACCCCCAAGCCCCAACACTGAAGCCAACACCTTGAACCGCGCTAAGCAGCCTTCCTGGGCTGCACTGCTTGGGCTCCGCACAGGAACTTGCAGGCTTCCCAAACTGGGGGTACCGTAAAGGGGTTTGTAGGGGATATATGGGGTTCTATAGGGCTATATAGGGTTTAGGGATTAGGGTTTCGGGCTTCATGGGGGGGTACCATTTTCGAAGGGGCTTAGGGATCCCTATCATCAGGAACATGGTATTTTGGGGATTTATATTGGGGTGCCCCTATATTGGGAAATTGCCACTCCTCAGAATGCAGGCCTCTTCTGGCACTAAGGGATCAGAATCGAAATTACAGAATCCCCTCAAAAAGTGCATAGGGACCTGTTCCACACGTTCCCGGTTCAAGTACGCGATAATGGAGTGTTGGGGGGTTAGGCATTATGAGTACTACTTGTAATACTTACAGGTTTGGGTGCTATTTGGGTCTCCAGGGACTACCCCAAACCCTAAACCCGAGCCCAAAACCCTAATCCCTTTTGGATCTCTGGGTTCTGTATGAGCGGAATTGTGGGTTGCACTATCAGAGCCGTGCTCTGAAATCCAACCAAAAGCCCACGACACACACACCGCGTTGCAAACCCTAAGGGTCCAAGTACCTAAATAATATGAAGCTAGGGCCCAACGTACCTACACAGGAACCCATTTGGGCAGGGAAAGGGATAGTAGTCTATGCACTCCTGCCTTTGGACTTCCTTCTTTGTGTTGGGGGACGGCAAACCCTCAACCCTTTGGCGGGTGCGAGCTTGAGATTCGGCCCTCTCAAAAGTCGCGCAGCACAAACATGACGTCGTGCTACTAAAAGGGCGCAAGAATCACTGCAATGAGCCCCACAAGATTTAGTTGATGGGTTAGATATGGGGACTCGCAATGTTGGATCCCAAATATTCCCAAATGTTCCCAAATCTGAAGCTCATGTCACACATCCTTTTTTGATAGCCATAGCCTTAAGGTCTTATAGGTCTAAGCCCAGATAAGCTACACTCAAAGCTACACATGCAAAGCCCTAAACCCCATAATCCTTGAGCCTACACCCTAAACCGTATACGCTAAACTATAAATCCTAATTAGCCTTAAGTCCAAAGCCCTAGAACCCAAATCCTAAGGCCTGAATCCTACTACCCGAGCCGTAATCCTTAACAACTTACGAGAACGGTGCCAAAAACCTAGAGGCCAGCCTTCTATCCAATCTAACATGTTATCAAGCTTGTTTACTCTTATCCTCCCCACATCAAATAACACAGATTACTACGTTATCTTTTTATTTACTCTTATGGTTTTCACACGCCCATAAATTGTGTCAGTTTCGTATAAACCGTGGAGACGCGGGCTTTTGTTCCAGCTCATAAGGAGGCGACCATTTCAGCGACCGCTGGGGAGCCCGATGCCCAGAGCCGCAAACAGCTTCCCAAAGACAGAACTGCTGCTTAGGGTTTAGGGTTTGGAGTTGCATCCCTGAAGATCCAAGTTGGCAGCTAACGCCAATTATGGAGAATGCAAAGAAAAGCGCAAATTGAAAGGGAAGCGGAGCTATAATGGGGCTAAATAGGGATCCAAGTATACAAATGATACCTAAACTTGGTGCCAAAATCTGTAACATTACCTGAATCATTACCTATATTGGGCTATTTGGATCTCTAGGGTAAGGTATTAGGATTGAAGATTGCTCTCATCACTAATCATGCGCGCACTCTTGCTCCGCGCGCATTGACGCCACATCTAGGTGCCATCTCTATACAGTAAACAGTAATCCCCAAAACCATGCAGTAGTTTCCCTCAATAGGGGATCCCAAGAGAGCCCTCCGGTATACTCTAGTCCTTCTTATGGGGACCCCCCCAAAAAAAGAACCCTCATTTTGGGGAACTCCCAAAACAGCTTTACCAGGGAATGGATGCCACTCTTTGCGGAAAAGGAGGGTAGTTAGGGTTTAGGGTTTATAGTCCCCCTTAAGTAGATAGAATACGGGGTATAGGGGGATCTCATTATATAATATACCCAAAGCCATATTCTATCTACTTAAGGGGGACTATAACCCTAAACCTTAAACCCTAATCCCGAAACCCTAAACCCTAATCCCGAAACCCGAATCCCTAAACCCTTCCTTCTAGCTACTTAAGGGGGACTATAATCTCTTTTGGGGAATGGCCCTGCGTCGTGGTCTCAAGCCAGTGGGGTATCTTACCAGCTCTATGCCTTCCTCTCGTTTCCCCAGTAATTTCTTAGTAACCAGGGTAAGGATTAGGTTTTAGGGTTTAGGGTTTAGGTTTTAGGGCTTAAGGTTCGGGGCTTAGGGTTTATGATTTAGGGTTTAGGTAGATTCCCCAGTAACTTTCTGATAATAAGGGTAACCTTTTTCCTAACGTTCAGCTTCAAGGAGACCCCAAAATAAAAAGAGGCAAAGGGTACTACTAGGGAACCTAGCTCCTGTGGCCTGGACACGATCTTTCAAACTTGGGCTGGACAACAGCATCATGTGGAGGATCTTTCTCGTGTGCACCGAATGCTTGTGCAAGTGTATTGGGCTCCAGCTTGCGCAGAGTATGCGACGGCTTTTTCTGAGGGAACCTCGTCATCTCTAGAGCTCAATGCTAATAACATGTGAATCATCGGAAGCCTGGATATCAACTGTGCATCTGAGTCTAAGGCAACGAAGACCCATCTCCTCCTATGTATATAACTATAAGCGGAAAGCCCCCAATCCCTAGTCACTAGACCCTATTCCCTAAACCCCAAGTCCTATCCTCTAAACCCTAAAACCCTATAACACTCTAATCTGTAGACCCTAAACCCTAAGTCCTAATCCTCCCCCCAGCACATACAGCCGCAACGCAATTGAGCTCACTGCCCACCCGCTCGGCGAGGCCAGAACACACCTGAGCCGGGAAGGCTGGATAGAATGTAATACCTGGACCCCAAAAGTAGGTAAAACAATAGCCCAACACCTCTAAAAATAGCACAACCATTATTATACATACTTTTGGGGTTTAGGTATTAATTTGGGGCTCAAGGTCTAGTGCTTGCGGTTTAGGGTTTAGTGGCGCTTCGGAATGTAGGGTTGAGAGTTTAAAATCAGGGGTTTGGACTTAATGGTTTCGGGTTTGGGTTTCCGGGCTTACAGTAACCCCAAGAACGGGGAAGCAAATGGAAAAGAAACACAAACATGAAATGCACACATGCAATGCCAAGCTCTGTAATAAGGTGTCTAGGATTTGGGGGTCACAATTTTCGTTAAGGGGGTCTACTTTTGGCGGTTTGGGTTACAAACATCCTCTTTTTCATGTAGTGACACAAGACCCTAAACCCTAAACCCTAAACCCTAGGCCTTAGGATCCCTAAATCCGAAACTTCACCCCGTCTGAGGCAATGACCAGGCCGAAGAAAAGAAGGGAACCACAAAGTAGGAGGCCTCTGCCACTGGGTTTAGGGCTTAGGGTTGCAGGTGGCTTTGAGGTCTAGGGTGTAGGGGTGTATGGGCTTCTAGAAGTGAATTCTAGGGGAAATATACTGGTTATAGGAATATTTACACGACTTTAAACCGTGGGGTTGAGGGCCTTGAGCTTAGAGGCACTGATCTGGACTTCAGGTTTTAGTGTGTAGTGATATGTAGGGGCAAGACTTTCTAGCTAGAGAGAGATCTAAACCGAAACAGAGACTCAGGAATTCTAGCTACTAGTTATAGACGATAGAATTATAGCTGCTAGTTATAGACTAAAGATATAGGGATATATGAGTTTAGCAGGACATGAATACGTATATCTGTTTCAATTCATGCCCGCAAAGGAGAAGGCGCTAGGCCTTAACAACAAACAACAATCAAAACAGATCCAACCAATCAAAGGACGTTTCTTGTACACAGGGCCTGTCAAACAAAAGACCTGTTATGTTTCGCCAGGGCTCGAGATCCCAAACTTTTTTAACCTTAAGCCCAACATATTTGGGTCCTTGGACCTTCAGCCCTACACCCCAAAACTCTAAACCCTGAGACCTATACACCCTAACCCTACAAACACCAGCCGGAAGCCAAGCATTAAACAGACACATACCTTAACTCTGGGGCTTAGGGTTCAGGGTTTATGGCGTAGGGTTAAGGGTAGAGCTCAGTTCCAAAGACGCAAGCCCTAAGGCTTCAAGTGCTCAATAATCAAATCTTTCCCGAAATAGAGAACCCAAATATGGATCCCATACTTGTGTAATATGCCCTTTAGGTATCTTAGAAAGGGCTTCCAACTTTTGGGAACCCTGAAAACTTCCCCAGGAAACCGTACCAGAATTGCTAGCATTACCGAAGCCTAAGTATCTAGATTATGGAATACTTGCATCCTCTGGGAAATGCAGAGAAACAAGACTACCAAAGCAGCAAAATCTTTATTATGGATACCACCCAAAATGCCTTTTAGGTTTGTGGAACCCATCTGAATACCTGGACCCTCTAGGAAGTCTAAAGGAGCACAATGCTGCTAACTGCTAGTAAGTACTACTCATTACAACTAACTACTCGCAAAATGAAGCATCAATCTTTCCCGTAATAGAGGGAGGACGCCCAATAAAAGCAAGATGCAGCTCAAACCCTAAACTTGGAATCTCGGATTTACTGGGCTTAGGGTTCCTAAACCCTAAACTACCCTAAGCCCTAAACCCTAAATCCTAGGGTTCATCTAAGGTCCCGAAACCCGAGATGCACCTTGCCTCAGTCGGATCATCCACGATGACCTCGTCCGGGGCCGAGAGCAGCTTGGCAAGAATCGTGGCCTCGTCTACAACTTACCCTAAGGTTAGGGTTTGTAGAGTGTAGGGTATATAGG